GAGTGCGCTACAAGCGCGCTATCCGCTAACAGCGCCAATCTCCGCAGCAGGAACCTGAGGTGGGCCGCAGTCAAGCCGCAGTAGCCCGCCTGACCTGGCTTCGATGATGGTACGTTGGTGGTGGCCTGACTTACCTCGGACCGCTTCTAAAGGTCCGTGATACACGCAGCTTGACGTGTTTATGTGAGTCAAATCAGGCGTTTGTGAGAGTTCGTTGGCTCTTCTTACACATAAAAGCTGGAGCTCATGAGAGTATCTGACAGTGCCTATCTTCCGACATGATTTCGCAAATTTTGCTCCTGATTGCTGCGACGCTGTTCTGCTATGTGCTCTTCCATGCCGTGCAATCCATATACCGCAACTTGACTTCGCCGTTACGCCACATGATTGGGCCGAAGAATCCCAGCTTCATTCTCGGGAATTTCAAAGAGATGGCCGTGAGTCTTCCGCCTGGCCCGATTGTTGTGTTTACTCATACTTGTGATTATCAGGAGGACCTCAACTTGACGCAAAAGTGGCGAAACGAGTTTGGGCGCAACTTTGAGTTCAAGGGGCTATTTAGTGTGCGTTACATTGCATGTCCCCAAGTCCATCCCGTCTAATTCACCGACAGATCAGCCATCTGCACACGTCCGACATCAAGGCCCTTAACCACATCATAACGAATAACGCCGTGTATCAAAGGGCGCCAAGCAACCGTGCTTTTACGAGGAGCTTAGTAGGCAATGGTATGTGCAATTCCTTGAAGGTCGGCGTAGTCAGTGGGATCATCCATCCCTCAGGTATCCTTGGAACCGCCGGAGATGAACATAAACGACATGTAAGTGATCGCTCTTGTTGTCCCGAGGAAAGCTCAACTAACTATGTATCTAGCGACGAATCCTGGCAAGTCATCTATATGAAATTTTTGTCCGCTTATCATTAATATGGCACTTCAGAACCCGGCTTTTGGTGTGACGCAGATCCGACTCGTCACGGAGGTTTTTGTGGAGAAAGCTGCCCAGGTGTGCACTGAAATTTTTGACCGTCACGACCATAGTATCCATGCCACCACGCGTAACTGTAGCTTCGCGATATCTGGACTCGGGAGATCGCACACGAAACAGCTACCATCGAGGTTCTTTCCGGACTCAGACGCATGGCGTTGGATATTATCGGACAGGCGGGTGCACTACAGTCCGGTTTATCAGACGAAACCCAGTTCTCATGCGAACGGAAGGCTTCAACTATCAATTCAACGCGCTCGACTCGAAGGGAAAGCCGAACGAGCTAGATCAAGTGTTCACCCAACTGCTACATTCTCCGCGCGCACAGTTCTATACGTTGTTGAGGGTGGCTCGGTCTCTCATGCCGATTCTCAAACTACTCGTATGTATCTATCATGTCTTGAACCATCTACGGGAGTCTTATTAGTGGCATTCATGCAGCCGCTGCCAGGCTCGAGGGTGGAGGCGACCGTGCACAAAAAAATGTACTCCATCGGGGCCCAGCTAGTATCGAAGAGCAAGGCCGATATAAAGACTGCTGAAGAGGACAAGACCCTCAGCGGCAAACGTGACTTGCTGTCTGTCCTCCTCAAAGCAAACTTGGCTACGAACATCCCGGAAAACCAGAGGCTGAACGAAGCTGAGGTCATCGCACGTGAGAGTTGATTCTGATTGTCCGACGTTGTGATTCACAACCACCGAAGAGATTCCTACGTTCTTTTTCGCTGGGCACGTAAGCGCATCGTACAAGGTCCAACTTATATTCTCATTCTAACTGGCTTTTGCTAGGAAACGACAAGGTTTTTTCTCGATTTTCTGTGTACTCTGGTGGTACTTACTTTACTCGCGGAAGCTCATCAGCTGCGTGGGCCCTGCATGCGCTTTCTCTGAACATTGCCGTCCAGACCAAGCTCCGAGAGGAGCTGCTCACACTTTCGACCGAGAATCCGACCATGGACGAGCTCAACGTTCTGCCTTATCTCGACATGGTAGGCCCTCTTCTGCTCTTCTTTTAGTGTAACACTTAACGTCCTCGGGATTACAGGTGATCAGGGAAATCATGCGCGTTCATTCACCCGTCATGTTCACCCATCGGATGGCCATGAAAGACGATGTGCTGCCGCTTGCTAAGCCCTATATCGACAAGGCGGGTAAATCGCACCACAGCCTCCCGTGCGTTATATATATATATAGCTGGGTTTGTGGAATCTGATTGATGTCTCCCAGGATACCCAAAGGCCAGATGATCCACATCCCCATCTGGGGTGTCAATACAGACAAGGAAATATGGGGAGACGACGCAGATCAGTTTATGTTCGTATTGAATACCCATCCTCTCCGCATTTTCAAATTCATTTATTAACAATGCTTCCACAGTCCCGAGCGCTGGGAACACCTCCCAGACGCCGTCAGCGACATTCCCAGTGTGTGGGCCAACCTCTTCACATTCTTCGCCGGGCCGACCAATTGCATCGGATTCCGGTTCGCCCTCGTCGAGTACGTCCGCTCCCTCTAGAAATTTCGGATCGATCACTCTAATTTTATCGCGGTAGGATGAAAGCCCTGCTCTTCACGCTGATCCGGGCGTTCGAGTTTACGCCGGCGGTGCCGAAGGGTGGTATTGTGTCCAGCGCCGAGGGGTTGATTCAGCGGCCCACGGTGCTGGCTCACAAGGGGGAGGGGACAGCGCTTCCTCTCATTGTGAGAGCATTCAATGTACAAAGGTACTAGACACGTTGCGGAGGAAATTTCTACGTCGTGTTCGATCGAATTTTCCATCGTCTCGACACTCGTTCGCGGATGTAAACTTCTATACGGCAGTGATTGCTTTGGATGATGCCCTCGGCACTGTCTATGTCAGCCACATTGTCAAAGGGGAGGCAGCGACCGTGTCTGTCTTATCCTACGCATCGGGTGTCTGGTATTGTATGTATGTATGACATTCGTTCAACGGCATTCCCCCTTCTCTGCGCTGGCACCTTCTTTAGTGTACCCATGACTCGGATTTGTGGTGACCTTGTGGCAGCCGACATAATCCAGGACACGGGAATTCCATTCACTATACTTTCCTTTCGTCGGAAAGTTGGACAGCGTCTCTGGCCTGGTGATATGTCATGTTCTGACCCCCACAGAGGTCAGAAACAAAAAATTTGGCACATTTACGCCCACTAAATCAGAAAGTATATTGTTCCTCCCGGTCGCGCGACGCCCTCCAAGAAGTTGACGAAAGGCGGGGAAAGAATATCGCGTGCTGCCGGTGTGGGGTCTTGTGGGGTAGTCCAAGAGATGACAGAGATGACAAAACTCAAGGTTTGATGCCGTGTTCCTCGGCTGGCACTTTTGACATCTCAGACGGCCGAATGGGAGGTCGTGTATTATTCTACGGACGCCAGTCCCGGAGCAGCTGGCCTGTTCCGCCAAGTCAGTTTCTGGGTTTCTCATCGTTTTTGGGCGAACCTAACCGATGGACGCAGAGTCAAGGATTATTTTGCTTCCTTTCATATGTTTGGAAAAATCCGTGAAGCATATCATCCTATCTACTTTAATCGTCGTTGACCTCCCTTGAATTGCGTAGGAGCGAGCTACCGTGATCCAGAAGGATTGTTTATTGGACCCACAAACTTCAATATACCTGCGAGTTTCAACGAATGAGGCAAAGCTGCAACGAATGATGGAAAAAAAAGATTCTTCGGACTAGTGTCCTCGGGTGGATTCGAACCACAGCCTCTCCCGAACTTTTAGAGCTGTACGTACTACGCGGGAGCGAGCTGCCGTACTCTACGAGGACTGGTTTATCCTACCTACGAACTCTGATTGGTATGCGAGTTGGAGAACGGGCCTGCGGCTAAAAAGAAGGACAATTGATGCATCCCAATGGCCTCGGGGGGATTCGAACCACCGACTTTCCCTCAAATGCTCGTGTGGCATATCTATTGGGCGGGAGCGAGCATCTATGCTCCACGAGGACTTATCTTTCACCGCTACGAGCACTGATACGTGCGTTGTTATAGCCGGAAACCTCAAGGGACGAAAATGAAAAGAGGGGTCTGAAAGATGAAAGGTGGAAGCATAATGTCCTCGGGTGGATTCGAACCACCACCTCTCCCTGTAACGTCCTAGGCATCCTCTCAATTGGAAGGAGCAAGCTGCCGTGCTCACGAGGACTTATTCCTATACCCACAAAGCTCAACTGATGACTGAAATAAAGATCCAGCCACCGAGGCGCAGATACAACGAAAGAGTGTGCGTGCAAAAAATTCCGCCCACACTCATGTCCTCGGGTGGAGTCGAACCACCGACTCTGCCTGTATCATTTCTGGAAACACAGCTAGTGTGCGGGAGCGAGCTGCATTTTTGCACGAGGACCTATTCCTAACCTCCAAGCGTCAATACCAAACTTAGTCCCAGGCACACCCTGAATTAATCAGATAACAACAGGAACGTGTTGGCCAGGAGGCTTGGGCGGATTCAAACCACCCTTAATTTATTGCATTCTCACTCACACGAGCTGCATTTCTCTACGAGAACTTCTTTATACTCATAAATTCTGATATCTCACCTTCCCAAAAAATGAGCCCCAAAAAAGTCTGAGTCTGTTGCATGTCCTTGGGTGGTTTCGAACCACCGACTCCCGAACCCTTGCAGCTGGCGTATTGCACGGAAGCGAGCTGCCGTGCCCTACGAGGACTTATTCCTCTACCTGTGAGCTCCAACACTTGACTTATTCCTTATACCGACAACGATGAATGAATGAGGAACGTCTCGGCAACGAAAAAAAAAATCAACTTCGCGGCGACTGTTCTCGGGTGGAGTCGAACCACTGCCTCTCCCTGAAATGTCTATCCTATATTCATTATCATGGCGGAGCGAGCATCCGTGCTCCACGAGGTCACATTTATCCTACTTGCTAACTCCGACACATGAGGTCTTTCTTCTACACCCCGTAATCCTCACCGGATGGCACAAAATGAAAAGAGGAGCCTGGAGTTAAAAAGATGACTGAACGAAATGTAATGTCCTCGAGTGGACTCGAACCACCTTCTCTACCTAAAAGCTGGCTCCTCATCTATTAGGTTGGAGCGAGCTGCATTACTCCACGAGGACTTGTTTATCCTACCTGCCAACTCTGATTACGAGTACTTATGTAATAAGTGATCGTCCATTTAACAAACCATATGAGGATTTCGCGACCTCTCTCAATCCTTGTTCCATTTTTCGTGCCTGGTAAAATAGTGGCTGTGTTGAAGCCTTTTTAAAAACTTTCACTACAAATTTTGTGATATATTAGTGGCGGTACCCCCCAACGAAATCTGGAGGTTGCCTGTTCGACTCCCCACATCCGCATTTTTTTAATATCCTTTATTTCTCCTTTCTCATTATCACTCATATTCATTGTGTTCTTCGTATATCTGTTGTTATTTTATTTTGACCAACTCTATGGTTCCTCATATCACATGGTACAGCTGTTTGCTTAAATTTGTGCAAACGCGCAAGTTTTGCGCGCTGTCACGTGCATTATGCCGAATGCTGCCGAGGTGTTCGGAGGTGTTTAAACTTTGTTTTTGGGAGCAACCTTCATGTGGAGAATGTGAAATGCTCAAACACCTGGAATCCAATATGTGACCAGTATTCGACCTGATTCTATCCTGGCAGTTCCGGCATTGGTCGGCATCACAATCAAAACTGCACGTGACAGCGCGCAAAACTTTCGCGTTTTCACGAATTTAGTCATGGATGATTAAGAAAGGGATGCTCACTTTGTGGTTCAGTGTGAGCTTATAATTTATTGGCCTGACTCCTGCTGACTCAACATGGACTGTTATTTTTTGTTCTTGTTCTCTTTGCATATTCTGTAAATAAATATCCCAGCTTCTTCATATCGTAGCCAAGTAGATAACGAGGACATTAAACTATGTACATCTCGTTCATGGCTTCATCTAGTTCGTCCACCTTGGTCTCCAACCTCAGACAGTGGAATCGCTCCTGTGCCCCTTCGAAATCCTCATCATTGCTGACATCCTCCTTCACTCTGTACTGCAAAGGTGTGTGTCGCATTGTGCGCCGACACTTTATGTTTATTGTCATTCAATGTCACCACTGTATGGCTGTAATAGTGTCTCATAATTATGTGGTGCACCGCTGGACACATTTTCACCTATTCTTACCCACCTTCCCATGTTTTGATGAGAATTCACACCACTCCATCAAAGTCTATGTGTTTGTACTCAGCCACGCTGCTGCACTATTTAATTACCCCAGTCCTCCCAAATGAAAAGAGTCACTGCCTGTAACAATCGAAAAAAGTGCACACGTCCACCGTTAATAAATTTCGAGTATATAGCAAACCCGACACCGCGACACGGGGTGTCAAATGTCAGAAAATCCGACACACCTTGGAATTCCCGCACGTGGATTGGCAAACCCGACACATCTTCCCTCCTGGGACAGGTTCTTCCGCAAAACCGACACACGGTTCAGAAAGCCCGACACACTGTTAGCAAACCCGACACAAGTTTAGAAAATCCGACACGCACGCTCGGCTAGCGTGGCTTGGCATGGGATCGCGTCACTGCTGATGCGGCTCCCACGTCTCCTGCTTCTGCCCACATTCTCGCCGCCGCCACGCCGCGCAATGGCGGCCCTCGCGGCGCTGTTGGCGCGTCTCCCCGACACCGTTCTGGAGCAGTTCCGTGACGCGGTAAGTCTGTCGATGTTCCATTTGGTGCATTCTGATGTTCCGCAGTCCTTCACCGCCAACTTCCGGATGAGAAACGCGCAATTGTTTCCCGGCACCTCATGGGTTGACCTCGACGACCTCCTGGCATGGCTCCGTCAACGGGGAGATATGGACCTTCTCGATCTCGACAGGTGCGTAAATTCATGTCGCAAGCTATGATCGCCGCTGATTACGGCCAGCATTTTACCCTTTGACCCATGCTCGATGGATGGCGTGGACATGTCTATTCAAAGCGCAGCATTCGATGGCTATCCCGCCGTCGGATTCGACGATACACGGTCCGCCACGCCGTCCTCAGGTTACAGTTACCCATACGACGATTATCAATCCTCAAACTACTCGGTTCCCGCCTCCGAATTCGATCATCTCGACGCCTCTGGGTCTTCAACCCCCTATTCTGGTCTGGATCTCTTCGGCGAAAATTATGAGTCGAATCTGGACTGGGATCCCTCACTGGCCGCATTTTTTGATTCTGCGGAGCTATCTTTCAATCTAGACACTCCATTTGCGCCCGGTATGAACGCTCGCAGGTTTCCCGGATGATTAATTGCTGATTTTCCCCACAGCTGTTGCTTCCGGTTCGGACGCCTCCTTTTTCCTCCGGGACCCCGCTCCATCGCATCTGCAAGCTGCGGACCCGGCCGGTATGAATTCTTGTTCAACAAATTATCTCATTCTGACGCGACGCTGCAGTTTTCCTGTCACCGCCGCAAGAAGATTTACACATCGTTAGAGTTTCTCGCTAGGTTCCCGGAGGAGTATCGTGACCTGTATGGTGATACTCCGCCTGCGTAGTCGTAGTCTTAATCGATGTATTTCTTTCCAAATACAACTTGCTGCAGTCCATGACAATGTGACTCAGCCTACACTGGGGACGGGTGAGTTACGGTATTGAGAGAAAGTCTGGATCTGCTGGCAGCCGGACCACGCGCGAGTATGCAGACCGTTACCGTGGGCATGGTCACATCCGATCACAATGATGAACTGAGTTCAGAAAAGCAAGCACCCCGTAGGTTTGGCTGTTGCAAAAACACCAGATAAATTCAGGGAGGCTCTTAGGGGGCCATTGAACCTTCAATTTCTGTTTTCCTTAAATAACACAAATACCGGAACTCCCACGCGGGCAAGAGAAACTTCGCGCCCATGTGACAAAAACTTGGAACAAGATGCGACTCCCGCGTAGGTCCCACTGACTCAACAACCCCGTAATATTCCTGGGGACACGGAAGACCCTTCGGATACCTAAATAGCTACCCGCGCCGGGGTACGACGTTAATGTTCCAATCAGGACAGCCGGTGGCCCACGCGCCAGGTTTTTGCGGTAACTACAGGATATCGGATTCGGACCTCTTATCGAGGGTCCGGTCTCTTCTGAACGTTTCAGAAACTGTGTTGCCGCGTTGAAACCCGTCGAAGTCCCTCGGACTTCGAGTGTCTTCCCTGCTATTTATATTGACCTTAGCATGCATTTATCAATCATTATTTCCACTCCCAGGGTGAGTCAGCATTTTTCTAGGGTGCTATACACCATATTGCATCGTAATATGTCCTTACTCGACCCTCGGAATCCCTCCGATGAGGAGGATGACCCAGAATGTGCAATTTTGACAGTTTTGATGGCACCTTGCGCGACTTCTCCTGCCTCACTTAGAGCATTCCAGACAATTCTGAGCAGACAGAATATGTTCATTAGTTCCAAACCAACATCCCAGGCAAAGCTATAAAAGTTTTTTAAATTTAATATTTTGGCACTGTTTCAGCTGAAAGGTCGGGTACCTCTCAGTCTGGTTTCCTGTAAAGACATCTGGGCATGGAACTTTTCGAATCTCTATTGATGTCAGGGCCTCGGAATCAGTCGACCTTGTCATTCCAAGGGACCAGTTGAGTTTCACTCACTGTTCCACGGCGAGAGCACATGCAAATTGAGTTATCATCACGGGTGCGACCCTGTCTTGCTGCCACCATCCCTCGCCTCAAATTCACTTTCAAGTCATCTTTCGGCCTCGAGAACCTGCTATCACCGTAATCATCGCCACTATCGAGTACACCCTCAATTGTACTCGAATTTATCCACGCAATCGCCCGCTTCCGTCTGCGGTCCTTCCCCGGCTCTCGAACTCGTTCCTCCTATCCCCCGGACTCTCGTGTTCTGCTCCAGATACTTCTACCCGCGATTGGAACAATTCTTCGTGCACTGTAAATCTGGTCAAGGGCTTTTGAACCACGCTCGGCGTACTCGGTGATCTGCACATCAATCGCATCAGTTCACACGAAGGGTATACAAGCTTGGCAATGTGTCGGAGTTGAAAGAAATTAGCTGCATGTGTCGGCTTTGTCTGGGCTGTGGCGCACTTGATGGGAGCTAACCGCCGTGTCGCGGTGTCGGGTTTTAGGGAGCCTCTAAATTTCACCACCCAAATAGCAACAAAATTAAATTCACACCCTTGAAACCCTTTCTTCTTCTCTGGCCATAAAATAATTCCCAGGTGCCAAGCACCGACCACAAAAAAAACACCACCTAGCTGATTTGGTCCTTAGGCAGGAGGACAGCTACAAGGAAGGCAAGATGCACTTCAACGGCTCTCGGGGGGAGTTTGCAAGGTACCATGATGGACAGTTCACCCGACATGGTGTGTATATTGATACAATGTAGCATACAGTTCTTTTAGACTGCTCTTGCATCCATATACTGGCCTTCCCACACTCCTCACTGTCCCTCAACACTGGAGCTATTTCTTTATATAATCTGATTTAAATTCCAATTCTGAACACGGAGATGAAGGCAATTCAAACCGCGTGAAGGATGAAGTTGGATACTTGGATAAAACTTACTCAAATTGCACTCCAAATGAAAATATATCAAGGGAATACTGACCATTGTGCAACACCTCACACAAATTCCCTTGAACTCAAGTTGGATTTGTGACGAAAACACTGGACGTACTTGGTGAGTTTTCTGATTGAAACACACAACTTGAACCAACAATTTCAGTTTCAGGCCTTGAGTAGGGGAAGGGTCTACGAAGAAATCAGATCCTAATAGTTGGTGCTGTAGCAATAGAAAAGGTAGAGAGCCAGTAGGATCCATGATGAGATACTTTTAAAGCCACCACAAGAGCTTCATTGAACCTCAATGGACACCTATATTAGTCAATAGCTTGGTGAGTGCTACATGGAGCCAGTGTGCCAAGAAAGATGTCGGAAAAACGTAAATAGCCTTCCAATACGTAAGCCTTCCAATGACCTTATCAGGGCCGTTCGAAGCACCGGCAGTGCCTTGGAAGGCAATGCCGAGGCCGGGGCCGGCTGTCAAGCCTCGGCCGCTTCTTGCAAGACCTTTCAATGCTCGCTCACCCTTTCAAGACCT